TCTTCAGCCCCTCCCCCCTTCGTTCTGCCCCCCTCCCCTTCTTTTCTTCAATCCCTTCCCCCTTCGCTCACCCCTCCTTCTTCTTCAGTCCCTTCCCTCTTCATTCTGATCCCCCTGACCCTTCTCCTCGTCTTCTTCACGAATAGTAAAATATAATCTCAAGTAGTGGAATTCTCAGTTTGTAAACAAGAAGCTATAAAGACGAGTTTAAGACAAAGGATTTAAGAAGTGTAAAATCTAAACAGAAAGGTTTATTGACATAGCTGATTTGAAAAACGATGCACCCAAAAAAAAAAAATTGACGAACTTTTTCCACTACTGCAGAGCTGCATTTTTCTATTGAAAAATCACTCTTGGTTAATTGGTGAATAAAACTTAAAACAAGCGAAGAATCTCAATCTCAATCTCAATCTCAATTCGCTTGAGTATAAACTCAAGCGAAGAAGTAGTGGTACTCATGGTGGAGAAGCCATGGAAGGTGAGTTATTATTTTAAGAAGGTTGAGTGGGTGGGTTTGAAGAAAGGAGGGGTTTTCTTTAATTTTAATTTTTTGCTTATTTTATTTTATTTTTTGTTTAAGAAATTAAAATTTTGTTAAATAATAGTATTATTTTGGCATAGAATCTGATGTGGATGCTGATTTGTCATCCACGTCAGGCAAGTGAGTATCACGCGATTCCGGAGGGTTTAAAAGTCTTGTTTTGATTAAGTTGAAGTGTCTAGAAGAAACTTTATGGAGTGTAGGGACCAGGATGACAAACCGGAACAAGTACAAGTGTCTCCCAGGCTATTCTGCCTATAAGATTCATTAAACTACTTCATTAATTATGTTTCTATATATAATTTCTAATTATTATGTTGTCCTAAAATTGCCAAGTGGCTTCATTTTAGCTTGCCACTTGGCTTAACCACAATGCATACTACTCTCCTTTTAATATAATATAGAAGATTCGGTTTTGCGTGCTTTGACAAAGAAAGACTTTGTACATGATTTAAAGTACATTTTAACTTTTAATTATTAAAAAGTACTATATTTTTGGTTCGTTATTATAATAATAAGAAATTAGGAAGATGAGCAGTGGAGCAATAGTAAAGTTATTTCTCTATGATTTATATGTTATGAGTTTAAGTAGTGAAAACAGTCAGTAATATTTACGTTGAGTAAATGCTGAATACTTTTTTTTACATGGAAAAACATGCATATTAAATTGTGTCTTTTAGGAATTATATTACCTTTTATAGAGTAAATTAAAGGTACAACCTTAACATAATACATGGGTAATTAAATGATGTAATGGTTAATAAATTATGAATTTTTAAAAATTTGCAAGTGAGTTTTGGTCTGGACTATGGTGGTTTTAAGTTTTACTCGGTTTCGCGCATATATATATATATATATATATATATATATATATATATATATATATATATATATATATATATATGTATATATATATATTTGCAAAGCAAGTCGAATGACATCTATTAGAACTACTCAAATTTCCAGATACCACCCTATTTACTAAAGGGTGTCTCTACCACACCTCAAGAGATGGATATACATAAGCGAAGGCGGATCTAGAATTTAACCGTTATGGATCAACTTTTAAGGTTTTTTACATTGAAATTATTATATTTTTAAAGTTAAGAGTTCATATCTACTATTATTGCAATTTTAGTGAAACTTTACACATAAATTTTGTAATACAACATACGCAACTGGATGATTATAAAAAATTGATTGTTGAGTAACTTGTCCACCACTTGCACTTCCTCTCAGAAATAAGTAAAGCTTTAATATATTGTGTTTATGCTTATATTGAGATACTAAAATCAAAATTCTACACAAATACTGGAACTGCATCTGAAAGTTTTTATCTAAAAATGCAAATAAGTCAACCAATCTGATCATGGAACTTCTCTCGGTCAATTCTTTTACTGTGGTCTCATGGGTGGAAAGAGGATTGGTTCCTGAGAAGAAAGAAAATATTTGAGTAAGAATTGACAGCTATTCACATTTTCTTGAATATAAACTTGTCATTTAACGTACCTTGACATTTTGTGAATCTGTTAGCAACATTGTAAGTCTATCCATACTCTAAAGCAGTAATATAGGATTCATCCAAAACCATTGCTTCGTCGTCTCCTGATGTTCGATCCTGGGATAATGAAACAACAGTGTTAGTTAAGTAGGAAAAAGAACCTCATGTTGCTCTTTCTTGATTTCTTCTGGTGGTATAAACTTAACAATTCATATGCATTGTTGCTACTATCCTACAATTTGGTAATAGCACAAATATACCTTTAATTGCTCAGTGAAACGTCGTCTCTGTTCTACAGGATCATTTAGTTCAGTGTAGGCATCGCATAGCTGGAGAAAAGTGAGACAGGATCAGCTTATAGAGTTAGTTAAAATAGCAGTACTAAATGCAAGATCATGATTAAAACAACGAGTAGCATTTGCATCAACCAAAAAAAAAGCTACATATTACCTCTATCTTGTTTACAAATAAGTTGAAACGCTCAGTCAAACCAGGCGCTGATCTGTGCGATTTTGCCAGTGGACTCATGATCTCAGGATGATTGATAATAAAAGTTGGATTTATGCAGCTTACTTCAATAAAATGACCAACTAGCTGTGGAACAATCACACAGGTATTAGTATGTCAACAAGATATTAGATTCTGAAAAATATAACTTCAATCACACATAGAGTTGTCATTCAACGCGGAAAAGAAAATATAAAAATGACAACAACATTGTTTGGCAAGGCAGGAAAATGACCTTATCGAGCAATCGTGCTGTGGTATGAGGTGGAGGACACTTGACATCAAACTTTTCACATACATCTAGCAAGTACTTATTAGCAGCTTCACTGGAAAAATCTCTAGGTATACTGATGTTAGCCACTCTCTCCAACTCTGACAGTATATCAATCTTTCTGCAATTAAAAAAGAAAAGAAACTCCAAATATTAAGTGAATGCTACTACTACTTTTTGGGATGGTGAAAATTTACAACATTAATCACTTTTGTACTAACCTGAATGGAGGAGTGAAGTCAATTTCTATTGGTTCATTATCCGAGCCATTAGCATGGTATCGTATTTTATGGCTTCCGTTTAGTTCCTTCACCATACCTAAGAGCAGCATGCAAAAAATAAAATTAGTTTGTGTATAAGTGAAATGTGTAACTGCAGCTGGATTTAGCAAGTTGAGAAGCTTGCCTGATAATAGTTGCTCTGTCAAATCCATCAAATCATTGTAATTAGCATAAGCCATATAAAATTGTGAATTCAGGACAATGAGTTTGATCAATTCCCTCATTCCTGAATACCTTTCCGATCTCATAAACACGATTAAATCCACCAACAACCAACATCTTAAGATAAAGCTCAGGGGAAACACGCATGTGTACGTTTGTGTCCAATTCATTATAGTAAGTAGTAAATGGTCTCGCGGAAGCTCCTCCAGCAGTCAAATTCATATTAGGAGTCTCCACCTAAGGCAGAATAGAAAGCTGAGTGAGAAAAGAACAGTTTTCTCCAAAGAATAAAGTAAGATATCAAAGGGCTATTTGTAGGAGTATTAAACCTCGAGAAACTCAAGATCATCGAGGAAACGCTTGATATATTTAATGATTCTGGTGCGAGTCCTGAATACATTTTGAACTTCTGGATTTATCATGAGGTCTAAGTACCTTTGACGATACCGTGTTTCCTGAAAATCACAAAGTAACACAATTAGCCTACCACAATTTAGATGCAGGAAACCAGATTAACCAAATATGGGTACTCCAGTACAATTAAGAAGTGCTTTTACCTAACTATTTTCATTTTTATCTGGTTTACATTTTACATTTTACATTTAAGAAACCAGATTCTTGATATGATCATACCTGGTCAGTTAACACATATGAAGCAGGATTTCTTGCATCTCCTGGAGTCCAAGTACCGTTAGTTGTTGTTCCTTGGGAACTCTGGAAATAAACAATGCTTTTGAGTTTCGTATTAAGAATCGTTGATGTTAATATACTGGACATACAAAAGATAGGTTTCCTTATGGGTGGTTCACCTGTGTTCGAGTTTCATCTGCGACAGCCAAACGCCTTGGTAGCATGTGTAGGCAAGGGGCTTTCACTTCCAAAGATCTTGGAAAGATACTTAGCTCTCCTCTCTTACTCTTCCCTGCAGCAGAAGTATGACACTTTAATGCCTTGGAAATTTTCATAAAAACTAATCATTCTTCAATACTACTACTTGAAAAAAGAATGCCATTACTGGCATAATTTTAAGCTATAAAAAATTGGATTGGATTTGCGAAACTTGTTTGTGAATATTCTTTCAGGTGGTGAAAGATAACCATCTTCTTAGTTTTCTTGATTTAATGGATTTTAAAGGACTAACCAGGATATCCACAGATAGCAATGATGTCGCCTCGCTTGACTCCAGAGTGATAGGTAGAAAATGCAACAGTATCCGTATCTGAATCCCTACTCAACAAATAATATTATGAGTCAGAAAATGAAATGCAGTTCAAATAATGGACCAAAAGAATTCGCTATGCCATTTACGTTAAGCAGCCAAGGCAAGATACTCTTAATATCCTGATAGCATAATTTCATCACTCATTGAGCTCAACTCAAATAATTCAATACCTTGCATCAGCCATTACTTGTACTCTCGCCCCGTCATCAAGCAGTTCATAGAAATAGAGCTTTGACGATGATGCTCGCTTGGTAATTACTCTCCCTACACGGATTTGAATAAAAAGTTATTGAAGTTCAAATCTAATTAATGTTTAAAAGGAAATCAGATTTTAAGAACCTGCTAAGGAGATTTCAATGGCCTCAAGTTTCTCTCCAGCACTTAAATAAGCATACTTGCTGATAAATTGACGGATAGAGATTATGTTGCGAGGTGCTTCTGAATACAGATTTATTCCAGATTCTCTCAACGATTCAAGGCTCTTCAACCTGTTAGCCCGATATTGCTGCCACAAAAGAACAGTTTTAACCATTTATCACACTGTGAAAGCTCATGCTCATCACAGAATTTTTCGGGTTGTAAAATCAACAAGGAATGAAACTGCCACAGACAACAACAAAATGGCAGAGGGACTTACTGTAGGATCCAAACTATCACTCTCAGACATATTGTGATGCTGCAATTGTCTTTTGGCCACTGACGCAGCCTGTAAAAATCCAATTGAGACAAAAACTCATCAACTTGAATAATGTATACTTTCACTTGCACGCATGCAAAAAAGATAAATATGTTTAGCTACAGAATTTCCCTTTTCTGCATCAGTTTTTGAGACCTATACTTTTTTTATCTTTTATTACTATAGTATTCGAGCTAGCTTGCGTGCGCAACTCCAAATACCACGAGATACCTGCTACCTTTCACCGGCACAGGTACCGATTTTTAGGACCTATACTTATAGGGTAGTAAAATAAGCTGGATCAAGACTACTCTAACTCTACTTACTCTTGAGTGTGTCCATCTTAACATCAGTTTTTTTTTTCTTTCTATGGAAGAAATTTTGGAGTACCATGAAAAACCAAGATTTTATATCATTATGATTGATAAACCAGTTACTCAAGCTCCACTCAGAACAAAACATAAACAAAATACACTGTAAAAAAGTTTTACTCCCTCTATCCAAAAATACATGTCACTTTTCGTTTCTCGAGATTCAAACTATATGAACTTTGACCAATATTTTAACAAGTATTTTTTTTTAACTATATTGATATTAGAGTAATAGCAAATTATAGTACTTTTCTTATAGTTTTTGAATATCTAAACTTTAATTTAAAATATTGAAATAACCAAGTCTAATTTAGTTTTAAAGATAAGTAAAGCTGACTCTCGAAAAGTGAAACAATACAAGTATTTTGGGACGGAGTGAGTACCTTCTTTTCCTGTTCCAGGTGTTCCTTCTCCTTTGTCTTCTTCTCTCTTAAGAGCACTGTTTCACCAAAGGGAAATATAACATAAGCGCAGCATATAGATTGGAAAAGAGAGCAGAGTTCTGTCTCTGTATAATTTAAGCTTACACTGTGGTTCTACTTTTATAGGGAAATATTAGGATTAACAACAATTACTAAATTGTAGAACATATATATAAAAGAAAAGTTTTATAAGTTCCTAAACTTAGGAACAAATACAAGATTCTCACTAACAAACCGATAATAGTCGGCGGAGGAGTCAGCATTTCAAGCTTATGGGTTCGAGATTTTAATTACTCCATCTGTTCCAGTTTATGTGAACCTATTTCCTTTTTGGTCCGTTCCAAAAAGAATGATCCTTTCTAAATTTGGTAACAATTTAGCTTAAACTTACAATTCTACCCTTAACGAGAAGCTTTTATAACTATACAAATACTCTGGGCCTCTTTTTAACTTGTTTAGGACCACAAATTCCAAAAGTTTCATTTTTTCTTAAACTTCGTGTCCAGTCAAGCAGGTTCACATAAATTGGAACGGAGGGAGTAATAATTTACGCATATTCAATAGATTTTTTTAAGACAAATACAAGATTCGAACCAAAGCTACTGGATTTGGCCGAACCCGCTCCCAGCACTCTAGCTCCGTCTAGCAACCCCACCGTTTTTATTTCTGAAATTCATATCAATTATATAAGGTATTGCAACTGTCAAAGCACATATGCATAAGCAAAAAATATTTACCTAACTTTCAATATTAAAAATAGACAACTGATTAAAAGACAGAATAGCTAAGACACCATACTTGTTGTTAAGTGGTTCTGTTGAAATAGAAGAATCCATTGGTGACGAGTGATGAAACTTTTCAAGAACAAGTATGGAAGAAAGGTTGACTATATGACTCAGCAACTTGATAATATTAGAGGGTTGATTATGCAATTACTTTCATAATTAAACAAGTTGATAATCTTTTAATAGAAAAAACGTCATTGTCCTTCTTATTTATACTAAAAATACACTACTTTTCCATATTATCATATATCATAGAAAAATAACAGAAGATTTGTATCAAAATTTGTTTCTTACCTCTTGCCTTAACTTTCTTTAGCGCTAGTCTGCCTTTAGTGATGGAAAAATAAAACGTTAACCCTTAACGAATTTATAAGATTTAAGTACTTGTCCGTCAAGTAATCGCATGAAGACCGATTTACTTAATTTAATTACTTTTCCAGACAAAGTAATTTACTAATACTCGTTCTCCTTGGTTGACAAGAAATTAATGTCCGTTATTCTTTTAATGATACCCCACTAGTCTCTACGTGCACGATATGCGTGTACTCTGTAAAGTTATCTTCCTGTGACCTATAGTTCATGAGTTCGAGCCATAAAATAATATTAGGGTAAGCTGCCTACATCTCACCCTATAGTTCATGGGTTCGAGCCATGAAATAATATTAGGGTAAGCTGCCTACATCTCACCCCTTTGAGGTACGGTCCTTCTCCGAACCCTGTGTAAACGAGATACTTCATGGCTGACCTTTTTTAGTTGTAAAATAGAAGTATAAGAGCTTCGTGAATATTGATCCTATATAACTAAATCATAAAGAAAGACGTCATAGAAGTCCTCAATCATTGGTTAATAATTCAACATAATAATTAAGTAAAAAACTATAAAATTTTACAATAAAATACGTGAAACCGATAATTTGAACATGTAAATCTTATCAAATATTGATCATAATAATAAAACGTTCATGCTCATCCAGTAATCCTTCCAAAGAATCAACAAAAATTAAAGAGGAAAAGCAAACCAAAGCCAATCCCACAAAAAGAAGAACGAGAAAAAAAATTATAGCCATAGAAATACCTGAAGAATATCGTTTATGAAGACAGTTGAAAAGATTGGGTAGAGGTTAACTTACCAGAGAGAAGTTCCTGTTATAGATGTTATTCCCTAACTCAAGTACCGATTATTAGTTTTGCATAATTAGGAATGACTTAAATTTAGGACGGCATAAATTACACTAATCAATATTTCATATATGGTAAATTTCATATATTTATTTTGTATAATTTTTGAAGGTTTTAACTTATAGATTTATTGCAAATCTAATTTTGTCTTGAATGATTAAATTAACTCTAAAAAATAAAATAAGGAAATAGACAGAAACTTGGGCATCTGTGTTCATAAAGTCACCTAAAAGGAAATAAAGCTCTTTTATTTATTTATTTATTTATTATTCTCACTGCATTATAAGGTGTTCCATAAATCACTATACAACACATACATAATTTAAATAAGGAATAAGGAATAATTGAATAAAGAAAATTTTAGTTGATTATAGTTAATTAGTCCATATAAGGAAAGAATTTATATAAGGTAAATTTTTTAATGGATTTTAAATTTCTAACCGTTAAGATTTTTTACATAATTCTAAGCAAACAAAAGACGAAATAAGTGAAAGGAAAACAAGAGATGAAATAAACTTAGTTTAAAAAGAGAAAAAAATAAAATAAAATAAAAAACACAATTTGAAGCGAGCGCTCTACCATCTGAGCTATATCCCCGTGCTTAATTTTGAACTTTTCATCGTTTGCCGTTTGGCAGTTCTTTTACGAGAAAGTTTTATGAAAAAAAAAAAATGTTTTGATCAGTTAAGCCTCTACATTATCACTATACAGTACTAATTAAACACCAAAAATAATTCGTAAAGCAACACCATTCGATTTACGTAACATAAAATTAGGAGTGTTCAGAAAAACTTGAAAAATCAAATCGAATAGAAAATTTGACTCAAAGACGATGTCGAACGATATTTTTTCTAAACTTTTATCTGATCTGTTTTGGTACTAAATTTAAAAGTTATTATCATTTATTTTGTTTTGATATTAAACAAGGAGAACCTAAGTGACAAATGTATTATGTATACCCATTTTGCAAAATTAATGTATATAACTCAACTTTTTTTTATTTTTCTTTAAATTGCCTAGACATATTCATGATGTTTGCTTCGTATATATGCTACCTACGCTTAACATGGCTTATCTAAGAGGTGCCCTTTTTGTTCTGGTTGATTGTTCTTTCTTGTTTTTTATCTTATACGTAGAGGAAGGAAAAAGAGAATTACAGTACAATATAATTGAAATTACGCCAAAATGAGAGAGTATGGACGCTGTGATCATTTTACAATTACACAAAATATTATGTAAATATATTATGCTCCTTTATCAGTTGCAGAGAGGATAAGTTGGATTGGTGTATGGTAATAAAACTAAGCATGTGGGTGAATGTCAAGAATGTGCTAGATGTTGCTTACCAAGTCAACATATCAAGTGTTCACTAAACGGTTGACAATGAGTTATTAGAAAATGACTTGGGATATCCTCGACGCATATTAGAAGAAATTAATTTGAAGGATATATAACATCCACAACAACGAGGAGAATCAACTTATGAAAAGAAACAAGCGAAGAAGAAAAATGCATGGATGAAGAAGAGTTAAGCGAGGAGGAATGGCATGTAGGTTTTTTCAAGCTCTCTTGTTTATATTATTTTATATTTTTATATTAACGTATATTTTTAAATGGAAGGTGATAATGATCCCATGATAGTATTACTCCTCTTTTCCTTCCGCTCTACAGATGCATTCTTCCTCGCACCTATCTTTTCCACCATCATTCTACTCTATGCCTCCCTCAGCAACCCTAATATGGCCTCGGCCACCCAGTTTTATGGTTATCACGGTCCACCCAAGGTTATAGTCGTTGCGTTTTTCTTTAAAGAGTGTGAATGGGAAATGGAAGAGGCACCTTTTGGATTGCACCTCTTCATCTCACCCTTCCTTAGTCTATAAATTTAGAGGCTTGGCCTCATTTATCAAAGATGGAAAAATCTGAAAATTTCTCCCCTCTTTTCTATATTGTTGCATTATTTTCAAATAAACATAAGTGTCAAGTGTGATTTGCTCCGTCTATTGAGTTTGCTGAAATTCTGTAATTTCGATTGCCAGTATTACAGAATAGTTATTTTGTTCTATCCTGGGAGGAATTAATCCAAAAACCTTGGGCAACAGTGAGGGGATTAAATTCCTTAAGGACACACAAGCAACTTGTGAGCTCGGAATTATTTTTTCTGTTTTGTTTATTAAACTAATGTTTCTCTGCTTCTCTGATTTTCTGATTTCGAACACAGATTACCAACAATCTTAAGAAATTTGAATTTATTCTCTGTGTTCGTCTTAATACTGTTTGTTGGAGACTAAACGAGAAAGGAAAATTGGAGGTTACAGTAATCGATAGACCAAGACTTAGAAAGAAAATTGCGACATTGACTGGTTGTCTGGCGGATGTTGGATATCAATTTAAGAAGAACAAATGGCTTCCCTGTTGGCCATAAGGTTTGCCAATCACTGCTTCTAGAGAAGATGTCTACATTTGCGGCAATTCTTGCCCTCAACAGAAAATGTGCAATAAAGGTGAAGTGCTGGACCATTTCCTTATGTCGATTACGATTAAGAGGTATAAATTAATACTCCTTTTGTGAAGCAACGAGAAAGAGCTTTTCTTAAATGTCGTTACAAGTACTATGGCCAAAGTCAGTTTGTGGTGACTCAAGATCGCCTATATATGCTGATGATTTAAATGGGACTGATTGAGAAAGGGAAAGGAAGTGAATTTGTGTTGTGGCGTTGTCTAGTGAAACTGTGAAAGTTGGATATCGATGTCGAAGATCCAGTAAATCACCACCAGTAGCAACAATATAAAACCATAAGGCTACACCAAGGAGAATGATGAATCATTGTTGTGGCCACGACGCATTAATGTTGCGGTTCATGAGGTTACTTTAAGCGTGATCACCAGGCGTAGATTAAACAAATTCTACGCCTCAATACATCACTCTAATCTGTGCAGGATCAATTGAGGCCAATGTGAAAACTGTTAGCCGTTATTACATTAAGTTTCATGGTGTTTCTATTGAAATCCTCAAGTTCGTTGAGAGTAAGTAACCGAACACTGCTATAAAACGTCAGGCAGATAGAATCTGATCCATAATTCCATAATGGAAAATTAAGTTGGATAAGAGACTTTGGTCCTTTACTTTCTTCTGTTTTCTAACGGCTTCAAACGTGAAAGGCTGGATACTTTCTTAAATTGAGTCCAATTGTTGGATAGAAAAGGAAGGAAAAATACAACTAGTGGTCTCAACGAATGAGATATCGAGTTGGAACCTTGCACCTGCTGTTGATTATAAAATGTTGGTTATTCTATTTAATTCACACATTGCATCGTTTGGTAAATTCCAAAGGAATTGTAAGAGGAGCATTTCTCGCGGTACATGAATCAAGTCTTTGTGGGATAACTTCATGTCTTCATCAGAAATTAAAGCGATATCTATGCCTGGTTATGCGTTCTTTACTTTACTCATCTTTATTGATTTTCTATCCTTTGTGATTTATGAAATTTTGTGTCTATAAATTTAGGATAGATGTTCATAATATGATGATCTCAAATATATATTGTGTCTTGCATGCACATTAATTAGGAATAACTAAGGTTATATTAGTTATTTCTTTTGGTATATAACTTTGGTAGCATGCTTGAAATTATGTGAAAAAATTATTTCAAGGTTGTAAGATATGAGTTAGTCTTACACCTAATACTTGAAAATATTCTCGAGATCATAATATATGTAAAGATGAACATATATGTGTTTGATTAGAGAAAAAGATCAAACTGTTTAAAGTGTTATAATGGCTTAGTTGGAAAACCATTTGAAAGGGAATTAAATTCTTGTGATTTTATACCTCTGGTTTTGGAGACTCTTTCTGATTTTCTATCCTGCTCGGAGAATAAAATCGGCGTGATTTTCTACTCGTTCGTTGACATTAAAGTCTTAGTGACTTTCTACTCGTTTTGGAGATTAAAATCTTAGTGATTTTCTACTCTAATTTATTGTTCAGTTTGAAGATTAAAAACTTCATCGTTTATTAAATTTGATTGTGTCACATATTACTCGGTTTGAAGATTAAAAACTTCACCGTTTATTAGATCCGGTATCAGATATTACTCGGTTAGAAGATTAAAAACTTCACCGTTTATTAATTCTGATTGTGTCAGATTGGTTGAAGATTAAAAACTTCACTATTTATTCTGGCTCTGTCGTGACACAAACAACAGTTCTTGTGGTTGGATCAACAACGTACTAGGGGCGTCGAATATGAATCTCTTTTTGAAGAAATATATTTGGAATATGAAATTATTGACCAAACGACCGCCCCTGAGTTACCGCAATCTAATGGAATTGCGGAAAGAAAGAATAGAACGTCAAAGGAGATGATGAATGCCTAGTTGATAAAGTTCTGGTTTACCCAAAACCGAATATTCAATCGAGTTCCATATGAAAAATGGAAGGAAGGAAGCCCAACTTAAAATATTTTAAGGTGTGGGGGTGCTTAGATAAAGTGCAAGTTCCTAAACCCAAAAGGGTAAAGATCGGCTTGATTGTGTTTTCATAGGATATGCAACAAATAGTAGAAAATTCCGACATTCATATTAATGCGGTAATCGAATAAGATAATGCTGAATTCTTTGAGAATATTTCGTATAAAAAGGAATGTGAGTTGTCTAGTGAATATCTAAGCAAACTCGGGAAGAAGCAAAGGAAAGTACGTTGAATTAGGAAAATTCAAGACGTAGTAAACGTCAAAGGATAACTACTTCCTTTGTACCGGATTTTCTGACATTCTTGTTGGAAAATGAGCCTCAAATGTTTAAAGAAACATTGTCTTCCTCGGAAGCACAATATTGGAAAGAGACATTCAATAGTGAGATAGAATCCATATCAAGTAATCATACTTGGGAATTAGTTGATCTTCCTCCATGAAATAAACCTTTGCGTTCTAAGTGGATTTTCAAAAGGGAAATGAAAGCTGATGGTACTATTGAAAAATATAAGGTAAGATTAGTTGTCAAATGATTTAGACAACGAGAAGGTATTGATGATTATTTTGATACATACTCGCCGGTAACGAGGATTACATCTACTCGGATGTTAATAGCGTTAGCCGCTATGTATGGCCTTGAAATCCATTAGATGGACGTAAAGACAACCTTCTTAAATGGAGATTTGGAGGAAGAAATTTATATGGAACAACCTAAAGGGTTTGTGGTTCCTGAAAAAGAAAAAAAAAAGGTGTATCGACTTGTTAAGTCACTTTACGGACTAAAACAAGCACCCAACAATGGCATGTGAAATTTGACTAGAAAATATTGTCAAATGATTTCAAACTAGTGTATTTACATTAAGAATACTCTAGATTATGTTGTCATTGTTTATTTATATATGGATTATATGTTGATAGAAAAGGCACATGAAACATGTGAAATGTGGGGGCATTTAGCTTATGCATAACAAAAGCTAATATTAGACGTGATGTATATATTATCTAGAAGAATTAGATGATATGATTCTTCAAACCCCACGAATCCTTAGGATATTGATATGATAGTCGGTGAATTCATTACTTGTTCAGTCTTACTGATGAAACTACAAATTCAAAAGTTGTTTACGTGCTTTTTCAGAAATGATTTGTTCTTTCTTGAACATTTATAATGTTTAGCTCTTCTATGAAAGGGTGTCACCTGGAAGGCAGTGACTTTTCATGAAAAATGCGTTTACATGTTTTGTATAAACATGACCGTTCATGAACAAATGTATTAATACGTTGGTCTATAATGAGGTGAACCAACCGATGAACATTACCAAAATCCATTCCAAGTTGGATTTGTTTTATAAATGAAGATGCTATAATTTGCATATCATATAGACGTATGAATAAATAGCATACAAATGCTTGAAAATGGCGGAATGATTGCGAAATGTGTTATATATTAAAAGGTTGTGGCCACAACTGATGCCAATCATTCTTGTTGTTGTTATAATATATTATTACTACATTAAGTATAGTCAATAATCTGATTTGCAATAGAATGTCGAGACGTATTAGTCTACGACATAAAGAAGTTCGCATTGAACTGTTAGGATAATAAAATGAGTTTTGGGGTATTTAAAATATATCCATGTATTGCACTATAATAACTATCTTGCGGGTATTGAAGGGTATAGTGATGCAAATTGAATCACCGGATAAACCTAAACTAAATCCACAAGCGGACATATTTTTACAATCAGTGGAGGAGCAGTGTCTTGGAAATCGTCCAAACAAACGTGCATTGCTGCTCTACAATGAAGGCTGAGTTTATAGCCTTAGACAAGGCTGGTGAAGAAGCTGGATGGCTCCTATATGCATACACTACAATGGTCAAGCGGCAATAGGAAGGGCTGGGAGCATTATGTATTACGAAAAATCTTGTCATATACGACGAAGACATAAAACCGTTAGGCAACTATTCTTTAGGGGAATTATCATAATTGACTATGTAAAGTCAAGCGATGTGTGTCGGATCCACTTATAAAAGGCCTAACTAAAGAGGTAGTTGAAAGATCATCGAGGGGAATGTGACTATGGCCGAGTCATTGTGGCGGTAACTCTACCTAGAAGACTGGAGATCCCAAGATCTAGGTTCAAGGAGCTCAAACAAAGTCACTAATGACGGTTCAACATTGTCAAATAAAATTTCTTTTTGGTATATTCTCGTGATAAGACAATGTTCAGTACCAAGGATAAAGCGTTAAGGCTTTTTAATGGTTTCTAAGTTTGATACAGGGTATATCAAATAGTGTATCTACGGGATAACACGTTTAGGAATCACCTATGTAAGTGTGAAGTGTAAGAGCTTCAAGGAGAATTCTGTAAGGCCAGTTCTCTACGCACTTATGAACCAGGTGGTGTTCATGGCTGAAACGAACACAACAATGAGAACCAAAGACGGTTAAGGGTTGATTGTGTGACGTATGGTTGTCTAGGTATACACCAAAGCTCGACGGTTCAAAGATATCAATTCTACCGATTGACCGAGTATATCCGACATAAGTTCACTACGGAAAGTTCAAAGGGAAACCTACTTATCCAGATGCGATTAATCCTTACTTGTGAATCACACAGCATTTTCATGCATGTTTTTTCACATATGTCCATTCCCCATTCATGTGGGGGATTGTTGCATTTTTCTTTAAGGGGTGTGAATGGGAAATGGAAGAGGCACCTTTTGGATTGCACCTCTTCATCTCACCTTTCCTTAGTCTATAAATTTAGAGGCTTGGCCTTTTTTTTCAAAGATGAAAAAATCTGAAAATTTCTCCCCTCTTTTCTATATTGTTGCATTATTTTCAAATAAACATAAGTGTCAAGTGTGATTTGCTCCGTCTGCTGAGTTCGCTGAAATTCTGTAATTTCGATTGCCAGTATTACAGAATAGTTATTCCGTTCTATCCTGGGAGGAATTAATCCAAAACCTTGGGCAACAGTGAGGATATTAAATTCCTTAAGGACACACAAGCAACTTGTGGGCTTGGAATTATTTTTTCTGTTTTGTTTATTAAACTAATGTTTCTCCGCTTCTCCGATTTTCTGATTTCGAACACAGATTACCAACAATAGTTGAATGCTTCATCTAGTCCTGCATATCCTTTATGCCTACACCGGTTTAGAGTGCAACATAGGGATATAGTTCGATGCGTCCATCATTTAGTCTAATTTCATCCCGTCCATTTGGCGCAACCGCTTTTATCAGTCAATCCGTCTTCACATCGTGTATCTCCCAGCATTTTAGGATTTCGGCTTCGAGACAGTAGCTATGAGCCTGAGGGTTTTCCATTTACGCATGCTTCTAATACATAAGTTCATGAGGGATGATGTGAAGGTAGTGCAGTATGATCATTAATAGAGGATCATCATCATGCCTAAGGAGACCGAATAAGATTTCTTTGTATTGTATCTTCTTCTTTTTTTAATTCTTGGATTGACATTTTCAAATATTTTTATTATTGTATTGCAGGTTCAGACCATGTGCACAGATAAAATCTGAGATCTATTCACACGCACTCAGATTATTACGCATAGTGGCGGACGCATGTGGTGGCAAGCGGGTTCAAATGAACCCGCTTCACCAAAAAATAATACTGTGTATATGTATAAATTATGATTAAAGCTGTGTAAATTTTGTATAAATATTTTATTTGAACCAACTTGACAACTACAATTTTACGACTAAAGTTATGTATTTCTAAGATTGAACCCGCTCGCAGAAAATCCTGGGTCCGCCACTGATTACACATTCAATCGATGAATTATGCAATTGGGGAAGATCGTAAAGAGAGAAAGTAGAGAGAAGGAAGAGGAATTCTCATTACTGTGTTAACTAACTCTCGGAATACACGATATTAACCAACATAACCACTTTCAGTATTAGTTAGTGGAGGAGCATCGTATAATTACTAAACTACCCCTCACTTAGTACCGTAAACTACCCCTCACTCAATACTCCCCCTCAAGTTGGTGGGTGAAAGATATCGAACACGCCAAGCTTGCATAAGAGAAGTTGGTGCTGAGCAGCAGGTAATCCTTTGGTTAATAAGTCTGCAAGCTGAGAGGAGGGAACATGCTAAGGAAAAATAAGCCCAGACTTGATCTTTTCTCGCACAAAATGACAATCAAGTCCAATAAGCTCACACTAACCCGTCAATTTGGGATCCAAATTCGAGATTTTCCTTGGGAGGTATCGGGAAGGATTTGGAATGGAATAATATCGATTCATACATAAGAAAAGGTTGAACAATGGTTTTTTCGTGTTGTCAAAGATTTGAACAATGAAAATAGATGGCGAGTGCCTGATCGAATTGATCAGGTCATGAACGAAACTAGATCTTGTGGAATCATATTGAATATTTGACGATACATTCTGTACCTTGCTAAAAAACCGATCCTTGTTTACCAACCACACATTGTCTAACCAAATCCAATTCTCTCTCGATACGTTCCTCAAAAAATCCGATTGTGCTTTGTGCGCTCATGGAAAATAGGATTGCTAGCAATTTGGATAGCTGCCTTGTTATCGTAGAACAGGGACACAGGCTGAGAGACAGGGAGTCCTAACTCCTATAATAGACCAACTACCCGAGTAACTTAAGCTACTACTGCTGTCATGCTCCTGTATTCAACCTTTGCAGAGCTTCTTCTGAGAGTGTGTTGCCTCTTAGACTTCCATGAAATGAGAGCTTCCCCTAGTTTGACAACATACCCTGTGACTGACCTCCTTGTGTTAGGGTAGGTGGCCCAGTCTGAGTCACAATATGCAGACAAATTGGTGATAGGACCAGCATGTAGTAACACCCCTAAACCAGGAGAGCCTTTAAGGTATTATACCACTCTGAAGGTGGCCTCCAAGTGTGATTATTTAGGCCTCTGCATGAACTGGCTTAAACTCTGAACTGCGAAGCTAATTTCTGGCCTAGTGATGGTGAGATCCAAGAGCTTCCCAATCAATTGTTGATAGTCTGTGACATCTTCAAGCTCTAAATCATTAGTCTTTCCTATATGAACATTATAATCAACAGTGGTCAATTTTTTATTAAGTTTCAAAGGTGTCTTAGCAGGTTTACATCCACTCAAGCCAACTTGAGAAATAAGCTCCAGAGCATACTTTCTCTGGTTAAGTAATGTCCTCATTTTTTATCTCAACACTTCAATTCCAAGAAAGTACCTCAACTCACCAAGGTCTTTAACTTTAAATCGATTGTGCAGGGTCATTTTGGCATATTCTATTAGTGTTGGATGACTGCCTGTAATCAGCAAATAATCCACATAGACGAGGATGACAACTAAACCATCTCCTTGTATTTTGGTAAATAAAGAATGATAAAAAACACTTTGATTATATCCACTCTCTGTCAAAGCTTCAGTAAGATTGATATTCCATTGTCTGGAGGCTTTCCTGAGCCTATACAAAGACTCCAATTGTCAGAAGCCTACACACGTTGTTCTGCCCCTGTTTGGTAAAGCCTTTGGGCAAATCCATATAAACTTCTTCATATAAATCACCATGTAGAAAGGCATTATTGACGTCCATTTGATACAAAGGCCAACCTTTAGAAGTGGCTATGCTGATAACAAGTCCCACTATGACCATCTTGGCCACAGGTGAGAAAGTATCATGATTATCAAGCCCTTCCTTTTGATTGTATCCTTTGGCAACTAAACGAGCCCTGAATCTTTCTACTTCTCCATTTGCTTTGTATTTGATGTTGTACACCCACTCAGATCCAATGACTTACTTTCCTATAGGTAAATCAACCAGCTCCCAAGTGACATTGTCTTCGAGTGCCTGTATCTCCTGATGCATGGCTCCAACCCATCTGTTATCTTGAACTGCCTCCTTGAAAGAACTAGGTTCAATGCAAGCTGAAAAAGCCTTCAAGTAGGACTGGTACCTTGTTGTTAGGTTCCCATAGTATAAACCCTTGGACAAAGGATACAAGCAATGACCAGTAGTACTCTTTGTTGTCACATAATTTTTTAACCAAATGGAGATTCTTCCTCATTTTCTGGTATCATGGGCTATCTCCTGAACTTGTAGCTGTTGAGTGGAAGATTCTAGTGGTTGTGGTGACATCTGTGGTGACATTGATAGGTCACTCAAATTATCTTGTGGGGTGTCTGCTGCTGGTGTCAATGTTTCTGCTGAAACTGCATCAGTTGATGTAGTAGTTTGATTCTCATGAGCTTCTGGCAAAGTTTGAGTATGTGGCATTTGTTGTTGTTGAGTATCATCATTATCTTCTAGCTCTTCTAGCTGAGATGCTGATTCACCTTGAATATTATGTTGGGCTGGTTGTGGTGGAATTAGTTCCACCAACTCTCACTGTTTGAGAAATAATTCAGTAAAATCCAATTCAGCATTCTTGAATGGGAACACATCCTCCCTAAAGCTAACATTCCTTCTAACTAGAAAAGATCTTTCTTTCTAGATCATGAAGTTTGTAGCCCTTCTAAAATGTTGAGTACCCCCACCAACACCACTCGTGTTTGCTCTTGGACTAAACTTATCTTACTAGCATAACATAGACAACCAAATACCCTAAGGTGATCTATGTCAGGTGGTTTATTAAATAGGAGTTCATGAGGTGACTTCCCTTTCAAGACAGAAGTGAGCCATTTGTTAAGTAGATACACAACAATCTTTACATATTCTCCCCAAAACCTGTTAGGAATTGAACTTTAAAACTTCAATGTTCTAGCTACTTCCAGAATATGTCTATGCTTCCTCTCTAATACCCCATTCTGTTGAGATGTGTAGGGACAACTACTCTGGCGAACAATTTCTAAGAAAATAGTTCATTGCAGCTACAATTAAAGAACTCAGTACCATTATCAGACCTTAATGTTTTAACAGTCACACAAAATTAATTTTTAACCATTGAAAAGAAGTTCTTCAACAAAACTATTACTTCACTCTTTGATTGCAACAAGCATACCCAAGTGAACCTATTGCAATCATCCATCACTGTAACAAAGTAGTGTTTCCTGTCATATATAGGTATTCTATGAGGTCCCTATACATCTGCATGAACAAGCTGAAAATGCTAACAACTTTATGACTACTAGATGGAAACTTTAGCCTGCTTTGCTTAGCCAAGGGGCATACTTCACAGCTATGTTGTACTCTACTGTCCACTGAGTTTCTCAACTGATGGATATCCTGCATTGCCTTTATTGAAGGGTGTCGTAGTCTCATGTGCCAAAGATCTGAAATATTTGAACTTCTAGTAGCCATTGTTACTATAGGTGTTGATCTCCTCTGTAGAAGGTAAAGATCACATGATTCCTTACCAATCTCCATCACCTTCCTATTGTAAAAACCCTGCAGCACAATGAAGTCAGTGAAGAATATTGCACAGCAGCTCAGTTCCTTGGTCAGTTTTGAAACAGACAATAAGTTGAACTTAAAGTTAGGAACATGTAAAACATCCTTCAAAACTTGATTGTCTAGTATAGAGACACTTCCTATATGGACTATTTTGCATTTATTCCCTGTTGGTACTTGATAACTATGGATTTAGCCTATCTTATGCTCTCTTTTGCTTAGATTTTGGATAAAAAATGTGTAAAAGTATTCCCGAAAACTAACTTAATATGCTTGTCTGCAGGGTTTGGTCAAAATGAGGCAAGAAAGCCGAAATCAACTCATGAAGGAATTAAATTTGCACAAGTTCAAAGCTGAGATAAAAGCGCTGGTCGCGAAGGAAAGAGCGGCCGCGGAAGATCCACCGCTGAAGCTGCCACAATTACGCGGTCCGTGGAATTGAGATTCAGATAAGGTGTTTTGGGTGCAACAGAGACCGCTGACCGCGATGAAAAAGTGCGGCCGCAGAATACCTGACGCGGCCGCGGTGACATTTCCACTGAGAGCGTCGGTCAAAGTTCAGAGACCTTGCAATATGAGCTCAAATGAGGGACGCGGTCTGCGAATATTTTACGCGGTCGCGATAGAAGTCAAAGCTGACGCGGTAGATTTTACGCTGTCCACGAAACCTAGCCCAGTCCCAGTCCAAAATTGAAGAAACGAGGTCCGCGTTTATTTTTGCGCGGCCGTGAAAGTTCATGCGCTGAGGCGGCCAGAATTCCACTGACAGCAGAACCTTCGTAGGGGTAGTTTTGTCCAGTAATTTCAGCTGTGTATAAATAGATCTTTTTCACATTTTTAGGTCATCTTTTGTCTGTGGTGCTCGTGAGCAGCAGTATTTTTACTACTTAGAGTAATTTTAGAGCAGCTTTAGCTATTATTCTTAGATTTTATTCTTGTAATCAACTTTTATGGCTTATATTTTATCTCCATCTTTGATTTCTACCTTGATTATGAGTAGCTAAACCCATTATCTAGGGTTGTGACCCAACCCTAGTGTGGGTATTTAATGGGACTTCAATTTTAGGATATAATTGTTTATGGGTTAATGTTATTTAGCTTGATTCATGCTTTAATTGTAGAATCGGTGATTGCAAACACTGATTCATGCTTTTATGACTTAGACTCTTCTTGAGAAAGAGAGACTAAGTCTAGGAAATTCAGGCTAACAAGGAATTGGGGTGCATTCAAGAGATTGAAAGCCCCAATTAAAGGGTTAAACCTAGAGATAGTAATACCCGACTTGAGCCAATTTTGCTTGCATTGTTTGAACTCCCAATTGGGCTTGAGAAATCTAATTAGGGCAAAGTCACTCAAACTAACGAGAGGTATAGAGTGAGTAATTATGTGTAAAGGTTATATCATGACCCGAAATATAACAAGCTTGTCCTAAATTCTAGACCCCATTAGATACTCGCCTAGGAGTAAGTCACTTCCCTAGTGCTTTTTATCAATTGATAAAAATCCTACAAAAACATTGCACTTAGATTATTTTCAGCAATCAGTAGCATTAAAAGTAGAATAGCAACAAATCCAAGCATGGTTAGAAGTGCAATTAAAAGCAACGCGCGCAGCTAGATTGGATAAAAACCCAACTCCCAACCAATATTAGCTCCTTGTGAATATCGATCCCGACCTTTCGGGTAAAAGTTGCATCGACCACTCCTTGCCATTATATACTGGTGTAGGGTTGGAGTCGATCACCTTTTTGGCGCAGTTGCTGGGGAGCTAAACGGTTTTGGCTATCTATTTGACTAGTTGTGTGTCTTGTTTTTCTTTCCTTCTATTTTACTAACTTGTGTGAGTTAACTGATTCAGGTACAACATGGCAAATAATGATCCTATTGGAAATGTTCTCCCGGGGGAGGAGGTAGATGATAATGCTGAAGATGAGGTGCCTCAACATTCTAGACCCTCCCCCAGCTCCTCCACGAGTAGATCCTCGGGTACTTCCAAATGAAGGTTACGCAAGTGCAATTGTCCCACCCCGGATCCGGGCGGGCAATTTCCAGGGTACAAATGTTATGTTGACTTTATTGGAGCAAAGAGGGTACTTCACAGGCGTTGCCCATCAAAATGCATATTAACATCTAAAGGGTTTTGTGGATACCTGCTGGGGAAGCAAACAGACAAATGTGTCGGAGGATGAATTGAGACTGAGATTGTTCCCTTTTTCACTTATAGGGAAAGCTTTGGACTGGCTCGAAAGACTTCCCAACCATTCCATCACTACGTTGGATGAGTTGGCTGACAAGTTTATAGCCAAGTTTTTCTCGCCGGGTCATATGGCGACATTGAGAGATGAGATCCTGGCCTTCAAACAGGAACCAAATGAACTACTTCATGAGATCTGGGAAAGGTATCGGACGATGGTGAAAGAATATTCGAACAATGACATGACCGAAGCAATGATCCAACAAACATTCTACCGTGGCATCAACACTACCAATCAGTGTGTAGTGAACCAGCTAGCAGGGGGAAACTTTATGAACACACCTTATGCTGAGGCGTGTGATATACTTGATGAGATGGTAGATACTTTCTCGACGTGGCAAAGTCGAGCTAATGTGCCACAAGGTGATCCCAATGTCATTCACCTGCACAAAGAGCTCCATGACCACGACCAAGCCATAGCAGAGTTGACTACAACAATGAACCAGTTGGCCAAAGCTCAATTGCAGCAAGTTCAAGCGCCAAGACAAGTGAACGCCATGGAAGGGGTAAATATGATGGTCAATAAGAGGCGACAAAGAGGTCAACAAAGTCA